ATGTAACAATTGTTGCAATCTTAGAAGTAACGGGACATTGTTTAACTTTAAAATGGCAATCACTCAAACCGTAACACGCGTGATGATCACAGTCGAGTCTTGACAATTAAATGAGGGCGATTTGCGAGGGTATTTTGTACAAAATGTGTTCGTAAATCCTACTAATAGATATTTATTTTGTTCGTAAATCTTGTCCAAATTTCGTAATTTACGACATTTGCGAGCGACAGCGAGAGCACAGATAACTCTTATCAAATGCACAAATTTTTATTTTTAATAATCAGAAAATCTAATAACAGGTTATTCATTACCCAGATTAAGTGAAAAGCTTTTTTACATTTGTTTTGATAAACATTGAATTTCCCACAATCCAATGCATTGTTCTAACAAAAATCATGGGTACAAGGGAATTTATAACTGGGTGCGAAGTGCACTAATTACCGGTACCTCCAGTTATCAACTCCTTCGATACTTTTTAATCACAAAAGAAAATACCTAATTCAAGCTTGGTAATGTCTCAGTTTGTACTCATCTGTCTGTGCAACAGTCAAAGTCGCCATCTTTGTTCATATGATACGCATATCTCGCGCATGAGTAGCACGACGGCCACCGTTCTTTGAACAAAACATGTCAGCTGCCTTGCAAATCTTGCATGTTACACCGTTTATGTCAAATTATTTACAGCATTGTTACCATGGAAACTCACTTAATAAAAATAGTTAACTCATAGCTTGTGTATTATGAATTACAAAACGATTATGTGCAAATTAAATTAAAATTATTCAAATTATATTTAAATAAATATTTATCAACCATTGAAGACTTTGTGTGAGTCATAGTTTGATATCTGTGTAGATGTTGATAAACTAGCAGCTGAGTTATAATAAATTACATTCTTGATTGCTTATATTTGACTTCCAGAGTTCTGTTACTTTGAAAATTGAACAAGCAGCTTCACAAGTTTTAATCAGACATATTATAAATACTAAAATTCAATTCTATCATTCATGACATGAAAAGGTAATATAAAAACGTGCAGCAGTTAACAAAAAGTAAATATAATGTACTCCACATGAAATTTCTTCATCAACATTATGCAAATTAATCAAACATATGCAAATAAGGAAAAAACTGCACAACTATTATGATATTGATTACATGTGCTTTACTTTTTAGTGTTGAGAGTTTTCACTTTGCCCGATCATTATTAGATAAAGGAAAAGGTATACAAGGGGTGTCGTCGTCATCATTGTTGACTTTGGCATCATCCTGTGGTTACTATTACTCAAACATTTTTTATCTGATCTTTTTCAAAAAAATATTTTATTAACAAGTTTGTGCTCTTCGCCAAATTCAATTTTAGCATGTATATTGGTGAAATTTCTCTTAAAATTGTCGCTTGTTTGCAAACATGAACATTAAATATTGTTATTATGTATCCTCCTCGTTCTTCATTTTTGGTAATTCCTACATTCCTACCTAAATTTCCGTGCAAATTTTTGTTCAAATTTATTGTTTCAAAACTTTTATTTTAACTTTTGCCGTGCAAGAAAAAAATTGTACCAGGTAGAGGAAGTACATCTTCAGTTTGTATCCATTCTGGAATTCATTTCTTATTTGTTAATTATTCTGAAAGGGCATGGTTGTGATAGTTATCCCGCAAACCCCCACACTGTACTGACTTGTTTGTTATACAAAGTACACAATTAAATTAAAATGTACAAATAATTTAATATTAAAATTATGTTATAAAATGCTACACAAATAAAAAATGTATTACCCCTCTCTCCTCCTCTATGCATTTCCCTCTCTCAGATTTATTTAACCTTTTCAGCACCAGTTACCTCTTTTCATCACAAATTCACAAATTAGTCCTGTTTATAGTCTGCACTTTCCTTCAGAAGATTGGGACAAAAATAACCAAATTTTTGTAGTAAAAACTGAAAATTGACTCAAATTTCTTCTGTTGGTTCCAAAATTAGAGAAATTCTGGTGGTGAAAAGGTTAACATAGTGATTGTCTAAATATATTTATCCTAATTGTCAGCATTTACTAGAGTAAAAACCGTGTGTGTGTGTGTGTATGTTTTATGGTCAATAAAACTTTCCATTAGTTTTGTTATTGATGAAATCCAGGTAATTAAGATATCCCATTAGTACACGATATATACTAGGTTTACACAATAGCATATCATCAGAGCTTAAATATGGCTCATCTTTTGTGCATTTATACAATTGTGGCTGAACGTGGTTCGATGTTCGGCCTGGTTAGTCAATCTGGAACAGCGCCTTTGACTGGGGATCCTTGTTTAGGTGGTGAAGTCATATCAGGGCTCAGTCGTGAGGGTTTATTAGAGCTGAACTCAATTCTGTCAATTTTGTTTGCTTGAACTGTTTGGCTTTGATAAAATACTGTTATGTAAACTAGATAATAGTTTTATTGTTCCAGATTAAGTGCAATTGTATCAGGTACATGGGTGTGGTGAAAGATCTTTGATCAAATGCAAAGCATACCATGGTACAAGGATTGGCATCAAACATGTAATTTGCCTTTAATTTCAACAATCGTGTTATTTTCTTTCCACTTTATCAGAGCTAATTAGACTGAATATGTAGAGAAATTTAGCGTCATATGAGGAATAGATTCTGGCAACTTTATTTGTGATGGGAACCAGTGAATCCTCGGGGGCGGAGCTACATCACGGACGTTCCACGTTGCTACGACGCGTACCACTGTACATGCATTTCTATGGGCTCTGTGCGCGCTGCTGTGGAACACTGGTCGAGCCGGTGAAAACTCGAGAAAACAACACAAACTCAACTTTGAAGTAACCCTGAACAAGCAAATTCATATATGTTACACACGTAGGGCTAATCTTGTCACACTGTTCAGGGGACTCTCAACAACCATCGCAAAGTACCGTTTTCTGCGAGTTTTTGGTCTTTGTTTTCACCGCGAGGGTTGCCAGGCAGTAGAAAATGCCCGGATGTCCGCCCCCGAGGATACAAACAAATTTCATTTGAGTTATTGCCATGAACCTATCCACAAACCATTTGTTTCATCGTAATTTACCATCAACTCAGACAGGTTGTTTTTTATACACAACTGGCTAATATGTTATGCCATGTGACTGCCTAAAAGTAACAACTATGGGCAGGTGGTTTTTATAGAGGTGGTCACTAACAGGTTTGAATGTAATGCCGGGTTCCAACATGTTTCTGCATATGAAATACTGATATACTTTTTCAAAGCCATTTTTTTTTTAATTTAAAGACTATTTTGAAATGACATCTACACTCAGTTTTACTTCTGCTGTAGTCTGCAGATAGCATATCTCTATTGTAAAAATTTGAAATTTCTCACATTTTTTGGACACCTGCAAAAATAAAGGATTAGTAGAAAAACTGAATAAAGGATTAGTAGAAAAACTGAATTTACATTATGTCAGTTTCGTTCAGCATTGAAAGTAACATTGTTGGATATGTTATAATACATACATGTAACCAAAAAGTAATCATCTAATTTATGTTTATACAAGTGTTTACGTCATTTTATTTATTGTTTCATTTACCATCCTGTATTCCCAGATGATTCAGTTATTAGTTCCTGTTTTGGACGAAGTCAGAAATCAGGAATTATTAGTCCGAAAACAGGAACTTATGTTTTGACCCTTGTGCGTCCGTGTGTCCGTGCCTGCATCCGGACCTGTATCTTAGAAATTCCTGGACCAATCACAATCAAACTTCACACATACATCATACATAATATTATACATATGCACATCCATTTGTTTCACGATCTCATTCAAGATGGCCGAATGGCTGCCGTTTTTTTGTTCTAAACATCATCAAAATAAAGTATTTCGCGGCTGTTTACAGATGGATTTTGTTCGAACTTGGTATATATGTCATTTTGTATATGTCATATTAATGCACATAATTTCGTTTTCAGATACTGTGGAATACTTTATTTTCGCTGGAATTAATTTTTGGTGAAAAGGCTTTTTGGGCGTTTTGTATGGAATTTATTTTCACTGATTTTTGATGAGTTTAATGTGAAATATAGGAAAACAATATATTCGCTGGACTTTATTTTCACGGAATCTTTCCTTCAGCGAAAATAGCGAAAATAAATTCCAAGCGAAAATAAAGTATTCTACAGTAAGATTAAAAATTCCGACTGGCGGCCATTTTGTTTTAATAAATGTGGTTCTAGTGCCATATCTCTGACTTGCTATGACTGATTATGTTAAAATTTTAAATATTCATTATACATCATGTCATAGATATACAGATATATTGGTTTGACGACCCTATTAAAAATGGCCGAATGGTGGCCATTTTTGTGCTAAAAAATCATAAAAATCAAGCATTTCTCGGCTGTTTACAGATGGATTTTGTTCAAACTTGGTATATATACGTTGGACATTATAGGACCTTGGTGCACATCATTTTGTTTTTCAGATAAGATAAGATTCAAAATTCCGACTGGTGGCTATTTTGTTTTAATGAATGTGGTTCTAGTGCCATATCCCTGACTTGCTGTGACTGATTATGTTAAAATTTTGAATATTCATTATACATCATGTCATAGATATACAGATATATTGGTTTGACGATCCTATTAAAAATGGCCGAATGGTGGCCATTTTTGTGCTAAAAAATCATCAAATATCAAGCATTTCTCGCATTTATGGATGGATTTTGTTCAAACTTGGTACATACATTAGACATTACGGGTTTCTGATGCATGTTATTTTATTTTTTAGATCAGATTCAGAATGGCTGACTAGTGGCCATTTTGTTTTAATGAACTATGTTCAAATTTGATATATTCATTATACAACTGTACATGTATTCAAAATGGCTGATTTTGTTTTGATTAATGTTGTTCCAGAGCAATAACTCTAAATACTCGTTTGCCGATCATATACAAATGTCAATCATTTAAATGTTAACAATCATCATAATTATATTCCTGACATGTTTATATTCCAGCAATAATACTATAGTATAAACAAAACTATAAATCTTAAATTCGATAACTAACGGGGACTGTGCCATACATGGCTTGTTAATTTCGGTTTCGTTCGTCTGCAGGTCGTGCATCCAAGCCATTACTCAGACATGCTTTGCCCGATCATATTTACATTCTCAGAGATAAACAGGATGAATTCATTCAAACTTTGTATAATGCATAAATGGCTGGTTGGTGGTCATTTTGTTTTTATTCATATTCATGCAAATTCTCCACTAATATATTGGTTGATTCAGTTGAAATTTTGCATATAAGTACTATACTCGTAGCCTAGGTAATGTTATTTTGTTGCCCAGTAACGACTGACTGCTTCACAGCACTATTCACCAACACTGTTAGTGATGGAAATTGGCATTAAATATAAAACCTATAAATACAATAATCTTGTAATAAAATGCATTATTATACATCTGTCACCGTAACGCCAAAAGCGGTATTTTATGAGGTATTTTCATCCTACCATATTAGGAAATGTGAATTCCAAATATGGAATGAATACATGCGTAAGCGTCCTTTAATAATGAAAACAAACATGGCTGCCACCAGGGTTTGACTGGACCCAAAGTTCGCTGATTCTGTTCTGAACTGTTTGGATTTCGGCATTCCCATGATGTATTCTTGGAAGGAAAAGATGTATATTAATAAGGTTATTTTGAGGATACCTCAAATTATGCACTCTGACACTACGCAGTCGCATCAACCTCTGCTGCGCTTCTGTTGATACATATTCAACAATTTCTTGTTTTTCATCCACAGGTGCCTCGTGTGTTCATCAATGGTAAATGTATAGGAGGAGGGTCTGAGACAACTCAGTTCGACAGACAGGGAAAACTGGAACCAATGTTAAAGGAAGCAGGAGCTTTGTAGTTTACAAGCGAAACCAGATGTTATGCCGAGAAACGTGATAATGTCCCGAGATGAAGCATAACATATTAAAATTAGTTTGCAGTACCCGCTAAGTTACGACAAGTTTAGTTTTGGTTGGATTTTGAGTACACTGATACATGTTAACTTTCTAAAAGAACAAATAAACTTGTAATATTATTAACTACCATATATTAAAGTTGCATTCTTTTTGCAAATATGTGAAATATCACCTTCATAAGAACAAGGTAAAACATTCAATGTGTTAATTGATGCAAATTAAGCCCTGAAAAATTGATTATATAAAAAGCAAACACCTGTCCTCACTTTCCCACTATTTCATTTCAATAGTCCTGGAAGGTCTTGACCCCTTGGACAAATGTACCTACAATGTATGACTTTCAGAAAAAAGCTGCCTAACTTTAGGTTTATTGTTTACAAATCTTAAATTCATAATCTGTAGTTAATTTCTATAATCTCAAAATTTGACGCTGTATACCGTATATTGGTTGAGGGAGGGTATCTTACAGATTTGCAAAGTGGGAATGCTGTGTCTTTAGTTCTACCTACAGAATCAACCTTTTTGTGTGCACTCTGTATTTGTCTGTTGTCCAATGAAATCAAAGAAAGTACCAGGTACATTTGCTCTATGTTTAAAGCATCTTGCAGTACGTGTATTAATTTTATAAATACAATGTATCGTACATGCGTATGTGACAGCTTGACTGTCACTTTAATGCATCACCTGCCGTGGAGGTTTTCAAAAGGTAATGTTACTGCACAATGTGGAAGTGGTGATGATCAAGTTGACCTACAAACTTTTCAACTATGTTCTCATCAAAATTAAAATGCATATTCACAAAGTTTTCAAATTTCTAACTTCATTACGTATTTGCCGTCGTAAATCGCAGGACTCAATTACAAATAATCCATTGTTCTGAATAAAAAATCATCACGATACCCTAGTTTATAAATTATGCAATCTACTTTGGGTACTTTTTTTTTTTATAATTGACAGACTTTGCATTGTGCATATTTTCCATGCATTTCCTTTGTTAAAATCCGTTTAACACAACCACCTAAAACCTCCACAAATGAATGGAAAAAATAAAGCTTCAGCAAGCAATGCATTTATGTAAGGTTACACTGAGCAAATGGTTCACAAATTCAACATGGCTGTTGAGATGCCTATCACACACTTGTAGTTTACATTTTATCATCAATACTTGTAACTTGTTCTGTTTAACATTGTATTAAAAGTGGAATCAATAAACAAACTTGTTTTCTGTGATTGTTAGTTTGCTGCTCTCTACCCAACTAAACACAAGGTGAAAGATACTCTCTACATTGCTCTATCAGAATCTGGCACTGTAAAACTCAACCATGTTGAAAATTCCTGTACTAGTCTGGTTCCTGTAGAAGATAATATGACAAAGAGATGCCCTAGTTACACTGATTAAGGGAAACTAGCTAGAATAATGGGTTTACAGCAATGCAAAAACGGAAGTAAACGCGCTGTCGGGTCATTGTTGTCTGCTGCATGAGGCCTGTATCAGTGTATGGTCAAAGGGAGACAACCGATGGTGTCTCCAATGTGGAATGATCGCGACACTTTTCATCGGTGCAATCGTAAAATCATCGGTTTGCTCTGACGGGCCAATCAGTAAAGAGCTTTCATTTTTCTTTTCACCAACAGCGGCATTTTATTGTTTCAATTGTTAGCTGCGTTTGATCGTTGTTTACAAGTTTCATGCAGCGATAATGGTAAAATTGGTTACAAAAGACGAGTCAGCTGTGCGAGAGATCGATAAAGACACGAGGAACAAATTTTGTTGGGCATGGCTTGAGGAAGTGACTTTGACCGTGCTAATCGGGAAGAAAGATGAAGTGGTAACTGAAAAATTGAGTGATTTCATTGGCAAGTGCGAGGTCCCGGGAAAGGCGCAATGTATGTAATGATTTGATCAACTATGGTTCTCGGACCCCGGCTACTTTACTTTCAGCTGAAAATTCTCATTCTCATCCATGGTTACTGGAATATGTGTCTCTAAGAGAATAAAAACGAAATAACCCCCAATTAGATTAAACAATATTCATTTATTCAAAGATATAAATTTTGTGTGAACAGTTGATGCGATATATATATGATAATATAACCTCTATAAAGTTGTGAAAAAAAAAGAAGTCAAATTTGATTGGTAAAAAGTATGTGTTCACATCCTTTATGTATGAATGACTTGTTAAGTTATAAAATACCTTGCAAGGCAATACAAAAATGTAGTTTGTGGCCTGGGGCAGAACATCCATCAAGGTAATATTGTGTGTAGAAAGCTCCAAACCTTATCTGTACAAAATAATGCTTTAATTCAGGAGAACTGTCAAGGACTTGATTATTCATTGGGTTTAATTTCAATGGTACATAAATTTAATTATTTTGTTTTCTTCATAAAACCATTGAAATTAAAACATCAAATGTGCTCAAATTTATGTGAATATTTCTCCTAAAAAATACTGGTACCCAATATTTCAGTTTTGTCAGTTCTTAAAATTGTGAGCGTTTGCTAGAATGAATACTGGAGAGAACACTGTCGCCATCGATGATCACTTGGGTATTGCAGAGTGTATACATTAATGCATTATCAATTATGCAACTAAGTCAATGGGGAAATTAGCTGTGATGTTCAGTAAATGTTGAAATACAGGAGTAAATGAACAAATAAACGAATAAATTCTAACTATTTTTTAAAAAGCATTCAGATATTTTTACTGTATTTTGATTAAATAACAAGACATAAATATTACATGTACTTGGAAATTAAAAAAAAACATAACAATTGCACTAGTTACCCAAGATGCACGACGGGCATACTGACTGGCTGGGGTGTGGCCAAACCTATCTATACAACACTACATGGATTTGTTTACATGTGCCATTGTTACAGTAACAGACTGTAGATAGGGTTGAATTGATCACTGTCAAACTATGGTGTACAGTATTAAGATATTATTACCAAATTAACTACATTGTATAAATCAAATAGGTAAAATGAGGCTC